AATCCACATTATTCTCGCGTTGATTCACGATGTTATACAAGGTGATTCTACAATAGGTGGTCAAACTTTGGGAGTATATAGAGTGAGTGAAATAATTACGAAAACCTTGGTAACATTTTTTTCTGAAGTGCCTCCCAAGAAAGATACAGCCCCTCAAAGGGGGGCCTCGGAGAATGATTTTGTATTATTATCTCCAACACCTTGTATGATGAAAATACAAAATTTTGTTTATATATTAACTATTCAGTGCCGGTTCGAATGGAGTTAAAATCACCTCAAAATTAAATACAGGGGTGTGTCAAAATAGGGAGGTAGGGGGTAAAAATAACCCCAACTTTTTTGTTCATCACAATTTCAGTTTTTTTACATGAAATTATGAAATCTCAGGGCTATTAACATAGAAAAGGAGCTCTTGTTGAACCTCGATAAAATGAACCATTAGCGAATAAAATTTATTTTTCCAAGATTTCATTTAAATTGCAATTTTGGTGTGCACTCACGTTTAATTATCTAGTTCAAATCTTGCAACTGAATTTTTACCTACTTCTAATCGTCTGATCAACTTGGAATCTGGCAGATGACAGTTGATAACGCGTCATGGACTTTTTGATAGAAAAAATATGGCGGCTCCAATGTGGCTGACCAGATTTGTGATTATGGTCCGATCCGATTCAAAATTGGTTTGTAAGGGTTTTTGGGGTTGGAAATTTTGAATTCGTTGTCGGAATTCATGAATTAAAAATAGACGACGATTTTCGTGATTATAGATGATCCTATTGAAAATAAAATATATTGTAAAAAACAAGCTTTTATTATTTCAACTACAAAATCGAAGATGAATTAAGGTGAATGCTCTAAAAATGAGAAAAAAATGCTTCTAGATATATTCTTCCACTTCCTGGAGCATTTGAATGGAAGCATTATTATCACTGATTTTTTTTCTACCTTATTTTATTACATTTTCATACAACATAACTCCAACGAAATGGAACGTAGAATTTAACACTGAGTTAGAGAGCATAGCAGGAATGTAAGAGAGGGATGATGAAGTTTTCGATTAGTAAGATTCTGGAGAGAGGCAAGTTGTATCACGATGAAATAGTGAGAGATCCGCAACATTTCTTCAGCGTAATAAGAATTCTCTAATGACTTGATGCTTAATCATCATTTCACTCCTCAAAGTGTCTTCCATTTACTTCTATGCACTGACGCAGTCTTTTTTCAAGAGAAAATAATATGCGGTTAAGCCTTCCCTCATGAATTATTTCAGTGAAAGCGTTTTCAATTCTCTGCTGCAGTTCTTCGATAGAATCAATCGACCGGGAATATACTTTTTCTTTCATTTGTCCTCAAACAGTGAAGTCCATAGGATTGAGATCTGGTGACCTCGGGGGCCAATTCACAGGAGCATCATGACCTCGACCTATCCATCGATTCGTGAAATTCTCGGAGAGCCATAATCGACACTGTCGACTGAAATGGGGTGGGGCCCCATCGTGCATGTACCAAAGAACATGCCATCTCGCTAGAGGAATTTCTTCCAAAAGGTCAAACAGTTGGGTGGATAAAAACTCATGGTACATTTCACCGGTTAAATTACCTGGGAGAATGTGATAGCCTAAAAGCTCATTCCCAAGTGTTGCTGCCCAAACATTAATTTTAAAAGAATGTTGATAATGAGTAACTTTTTTGGTATGGGGATTCTCATCGGCCCAAACATGTTCGTTGTGCATGTTAAACACTCCGCTTCTGGTGAAAGTAGCCTCATCACTGAAAATGATTTCAGAAAGAAACGTGGGGTTTTGTTCACGCCGATTCAGAAGCCAATTACAAAATTCCATTCGTAGGGGTCTATCTCCTGGCAAAATATCCTGGACTTGTCGGTAATGGTAGGGATGCAATTGTTGTTCTTTTAGTATTCTCCAAACAACCGGTTGTGACATATTCGTTTGTAATGACAAACGCCTGGTACTTGACGAGGGGTTATCTTCAATAATATTCAGAATATTTTCCTCATTCGCGACTGTTCTCATAGTCCTTCGTCTTCCTCTGTCAGAAGTTCTGGGTTTCAAACTCCCACATTCACGTAAACATCGTTCAGTAGACAGGAAAGTTTTGTAATCTGGTAGATTTCTTCGCGGATATTTCTCATTGTACCGCCTCACTGCAGCCCGTGCACTTCCATGACATTCGCCCAATGTTAATAGCATATCTACGTACTCAGAAAATGTATAGTTTGGCATGTTTGACGATTTGAAAACAATGCTAACGGAATTCCAACTGATTTTGACAATTCTCAAAACTGACAATAAAAGTCAACTGATAATCTAGTGGTTCTATTTGTATTCTCTGTTCCCATATTTTTACTTCTCATCGGATAATTGAAATGTGAAAAACAATTTTATTCGGAAATGGTTCATTTTATCGACATTCAACGAGAGCATACCATTTTTATGTAAATAGCCCTGAAATTTCATAATTTCATGTCAAACGACTGAAATTATGGAATTATGTCGTGAACAAAGACTGTATCAAAGCATAAAAATGAATGGAGGACACTTTGAGGAGTGAAATGATGATTGAGCATCACGTCATTAGAGAATTCTTACAACGCTGAAGTAATGTTGCGGATCACTCAATATTTCATCGTCATAGAGCTTGCCTCTTTCCAGAATCTTATAGAAAACTTAATCATCTCTGTCATATTCCTGCTGTGCTCTCTAACGCTCTATAACTCAGGGTTTTCTACTTTTCATTTCGTTGGGGTTATGTTGAACTGAAATGTAATAAAATAAGGTAAAAAAATCAGTGACAATAATGTTTCTATCCAAATGCTTCAGGAAGTGGAAGAAGATTTCTTCAGATATGTAAGCTATCGAATACCTTACTCACAGAATAACTTACGTGAGATATCCAAAGCATTTTTCTCGTCATTTTCAGAGCATTTGAAAAAAGGCTTGTCTTTTTTCACCTTATTTCATCTTTAATTTTTCATTTCAATAGTTAAAGTAATGAAAGCTTGTTTTCATCAATACTTTTTATTCTATTTTTAATAGGATCAGTCCATAATAACAAAACTCGTCGGCTATTTTGATTTCACGAATTCCGACAACGAATTCTAAATTTCCAACCCCAAAAACCCTCACATACCAATTTTGAATCGAATCGAACCATAATCACAAATCTGGTCAGACACATTGGAGTCGCCATAACGCATTGTCAACTGTCATCTGCCAGATTCTGAGTTGATCAGACGATCAGAAATAGGTAAAAATTCGGTTGCGAGATTTGAACTAGATAATTAAACTTGAGCGCACACCAAAATTGCAATTTAAATGAAATCTTGGAAAAATAAATTTTATTCGCTAATGGTTCATTTTATCGAGATTCAACAAGAGCTCCTTTTCTATGTTAATAGCCCTGAGATTTCATAATTTCATGTAAAAAAACTGAAATTGTGATGAACAAAAAAGTTGGGGTTATTTTTACCCCCTACCTCCCTATTTTGACACACCCCTGTATTTAATTTTGAGGTGATTTTAACTTCATTCGAACCGGCACTGAATAGTAAGTGGATGGACAAAATTTCAGATTTTCATTACACAAGGTGTTGGAGATACTAATTCAAAATCATTCTCTGAGGCCCCCCTTTGAAAAAAATGTTACGGAGGTTTTCGTAACTATTTCACCCACTCTATATGCTCCCAAAGTTTGACCACCTATTTTAGAATCACCTTGTATAATCTTTCAACTCCCAGTCTGAAGAGGTATTCTGTGTGTGTGTGTGTGTGATGTCTTGATCAGTATCCAGAAATCTAGTTAGTACTCCAGTATCTTCAAAGTTATCATCAAGAAACTCATCGTTGTTCTCTAATTCATCTTCAGAAGGAGCTTCTGAAGTAAAAGAAGAATTGTCTTCGAGTAAGCAGAACGCATCATCAGAATATAACTTAGGAAGGTTAATCTAACCTTTTCGTGAAAAAAGAAAACATATTTGTACTTATATGACAATCGCGCTTGTGGTCCCAAAAGGAACCACACATATTTGGGATCGTAATAGCGAAAAACAAGGTTGTTCTTGTTCTGGAAATGCTCAAATCCCAAAAAAAGGCAAATTATGTTCATGTAAAAACATGACACATTTGACCTCAGATTCTCGTATCCTATGAAACTTACTTGTTTGTTCATTGTACATAGGAACTTCTGATGTTCTTCTTATGTAATTACGTTTCTTCATTGCGACTCACATGAGTTACACCACCTTTTATGTTTTCACAGCATGCTGTGCAAAATGCACAGTTTTCATCAGTTTCTTTGCACCAACTACACAATTTAGTTCTCCATTCAGTCTTGAATTTTTGTTTATTCATTAATGTTTTCAATGGACTCTGGCTCATCAATTATATTATATTTAGAATCATTGGTATCAACATCTTGATCAACAACAATTTCTTCTCCACTGATTATACTATTAATATTACTACTGTTGATATTATCCATTGAATTGATGGTTTCGACATTTTTATCACTTGTTACAGATGTATCTTTCTTGGAAATATTTGTTTTCTGTTCTTTGAATTTGGACAACCATCTACAAGTTGAAAATTCATAAAACTAAGCAGTGAAATTGCATACTTATCTATCGGCTCATTCAGGCCCACCACTAATATTATGAAGCTCGGTTGGCTCTAATAAAACAATGCCTTGTAGATATATAAAACGTAATGAATTCATCAGCGGGGTAATGCCGTAATATATAATTGACTAGCGTAACAGAAATGATACGAACGTAATGATGCTGGCAACAAATCATGAGATGAAAATAAAAAACAAACACGGGTACCTAAAAATTTTGCCTCTCAAATGATTTGCAGGCTAACAGGTCTACGCTCCAGTGAACACTGAGGGCCATTTTTCGATAAATGTTTATTATAATTTCTGCTGTGAATGTAGCACGTGGTTTCCAAATGTCAATTACAGTGTATTCATTCTTATTACAGCTACATCTCTGTTGACCCCAAGAGTGCAGCATCCTGCACCAAATTTCAGTGGGACTGCTGTTATCAATGACGATTTCAAGAACATTCAACTGAGTGACTACAGAGGCAAATATGTGGTGCTGTTCTTCTATCCTCTCGACTTGTGAGTTGTTTTTCAATTAAAATATTCAAACAAAATGTAAAAGGAAAGGTGTTCAATGTTCGATGATTTTCCAGGGTTCCTAAGTAAAACAAATACAATAGTAGAGTAAAAAAAGTTGATAGGGGGTCACTGTGCCAATTTCAACTGTCCTGGTTTTTTGTGAAAAAACAAAGAGAATTTTATGAATAGAATTTTCATTACCTTATGAGTTTTCAGGATACAAGGAATTTTCTCGTTTCAGACATCCCCCGCATCTTGGTTGTATTTTGAATTGTTTGCGATTCGGGAACGTCCTCTTACGACATCATCAGGACAGTTTTGATATTTCTTGAACAGTAAGAGATAGCGATATAGGTAAAAATCAGGATAATTGAATCAAAAACAAAATTCTTTTAGCAAATTAAAAAAACTGTATTGAAAAAATCAATTTCATATTCATTTTATTTTTTCTATTATTATTCTTGAAGAATAAGATTCTTCATGAACAGGTAATTGACAGTGTTGGAGGAATTCGGATTGCTTTAAATATTCACACCACACTGTTTTAATACTGACAACTGATTTTTTAACGCCTGGACATTTTTCTCTCACTGAATATGTCAGTATTCTCAGGAGAAAAATAAAATCAATTTTTCAACACGTGTCCAGGCGTTAAAAATTAGGTTTGGTTCGTGGTAAACAGACCCCAATAAACCTAGCAGAACCACTTCAATATTTCAGATTTGCAATAGTGCTATAATTTGTTACTGATTTATTACTAATTTGTTACCATATTCGCGAATTTATTACCCTCTATTTAACAGAAAGAACAACTACCTTGCTAGCTTTATGTCAACCTAGCAGATCCATGGCTCAATAGTTTTTTTTTTATTTCTAATAAACCATAATATATGAACATTTTCCAAATAACTTATAACTATAAGCACGAATTTTTTACACATCGTTTGATGGAAAAACGTCGATTTGTCTCTAGATCTCAACCTAGCAAAACCAAAACTCAAATCACATGTTATTTAAAATTTCATTGTGTCCCCAATAAGTTACTTATTTATTACTAATTTCTGCCATATTCCATGTGGAGATGGAAACGCCGATTGGTCTATTTTTATCTTAACATGGCACAACCAATACTCGAATGACATGTGTTTGGGAATTCCATTCAGCTCTAGATTTAATACTATTACTAATTTATTACCACAATCACAAATCTGTCAATTTTGATTTCGAGAAGAAAATCGCCTATTCGTCTATAATTATATTTTCAGTCTATCAAAAACTAGTAGAATTAGTTACATAATTCAATTCCATTGACAATATTGACAAAATTCATTGACACGTGAAAGTTAACTGTTGACGATTCTGCCCTTCGAGTTAAACATCCAGTAGAGGTCTAGTACCTGACGTACTAGAGTAAGAATTGTTGCTATCTTTGAGATCAGTCAGTTTTGTTTAATCAAGCGAATCCTGCTCTGAAATTAATCATAAGTTCAGGAAAATCCAGTGCCACACATCGGATGAGCTAGGTAGCGGACTCTTTTGTCTATCCTGAGAGACCTGGCCTAATTGGCCCTTCTCGGTGGTGCTTGTGCAGTAAGCCAGGCCAACAAGAAGGAAACTAATTGCCTTTCTTGGTTGTACATAGCTGAACATGATTCGTTTTTCACACTAAACCTACACTTGTCCACGCTTTCCGGGCTTTGTATTTTCTTTGTTGCACTGCTTAACTAGCCTGCCTGCTTTTCTTCCTGCTTGATTGATTTAACAGCATATCTTTTCCTGCTTGCCTATGTTTCTTTTGTGATTGCTTGTTGCCTAACCATTGCTACTGTTATCCGGAAAATTCAATGATCTAAGGTGTTTGCATATGCCCAGTGGTACAAGCTGTTCCTCCTGTCAGTCATACTTCAGTTGTCATACCTGTCAAAGTCGATATGAAGATAAATTTAATTATATGAACTATAAGGATGTACAATGTATGATTTGATACATTTATAACAACGGATACACCGAAAGGAGTTAAATAAACCTGTAGTCGATCTGTCTATGTGCTTCTGATTTTTCTATCCCGATAACAAAGGTACAAAGTCAATTCCATTGCAGAAACCATATTTGTGACAATCAGTATTGGGATGGTAGCAATGTAACCCAAGAGTTATTATTAGACTATCAGAAACATCTATCCATAGCACCCAGTATTCCAGACTTCCCCAAGGGTCTGTAATTGAAGACTACATTCTCTTGGCTCCTTGACTTCAGGTCAATTCAACAGCATTGACCTCTGGTTTATTCGACACCCTTTGTGTCTTCTTCACTGTTTCACTTTTGGGCCTCTGTACAAAAATAGTTTTCTGCAGAGCAGGTGGAGTAAACCACCTTATAAACAATCTGGCGCCCGAGACACCCAGATAGGGTCCAGGAAGCGAGTATACGAACAGTTAAAAAAAAATAATTTTGAGCTATGGTTCTGCTATGTTGACATAAAGCTACCAGAGCCGTAGGTTCCTTCTATCAAATGAAGGGTAATAGATTCGCCAATATGGTAATAAATTAGTAATTAATTAGTAACAAATTATAGCACTATTGCAAATCTGAAATATTTGAATGTTTCTGCTAGGTTTATTGGGGTAAGGATGAGGTCATAGCGTTCAGCGGGTACCAAGCTGTGATTTTCATTGAACTGTCGAAGTGAATCACAGTTCTGTAAAAATCGTATTACAACACAAATCACTAAACACGTTCGCTACCAAGGGCACTTGAGCAATCCGTCACCACAGACCAGGGGGCGATTCGGTCGGTATTGTCTTATACTATACATTTTTTCAAACAACATGAAAAACACTTTTCTGAAGGCTGTCACAAACGTCGGTCCACCGAAAGTAATCTTTCAGGATAGACCAGGGTGACATATATGAAACAATTCAATATTGATAATAGAACAAGAGTTTCAACTAAATTATCTTTATTGATGAACTCGAAACATTTTTTCCATAATAATATATACCATAAGCAATCAAAATCATGCGATGAAAGCCTATAATCTATTTTGGATGTGGTAATCTTTGAAACCAGGTTCAATACATAATACAATTGGTTGAACATCATCTTGGCATGCGTGACATGTAAAGAAAGTAGCAGATATCTTGGTTCTTTGGGAACATACACGGCATCTTATCCTTTTGTCTAGTTTTTTTGGGAAATGATTGTTTGTAGTCTGTGCTCGAGAACTTGTAGAGACCTGAACGTCCGTTTGAAAAAACTGCTGAGCTATATCTTCTCGGAATTGCAGATAAGTTTTTTTGTTCTGATGTACTTTATTATATAGCCAGCATGCATTCCACATTGATACATCAAATAGATGAAAACATATTTTCAGATACCAGCGTACATATTTGCGTGGAGTTGAATAGTATGGAACCATTTGATCACATCTGCCAATCCCTGACATATTCGAATTGTAATCAATTAATCTAACTGGTTTCAATTTTTTATTTCCCCGTTTGTCAGTTATCTCGCCCATAGTTGCCTTATGTTTGGAAGAGATCACGCACCATCTAAATATACATAACCTAACAATGTACAGGTTCTCCTGATCCACAGACCACTCGTCACAGATATGTGGCGAACCTATTTATGGACCATAGTGCAACGAACAAAACAACAACCCAGACCACAGATTTTAGAAATCCAATTGAAATACTCTGTACTCCCGACACAAATGTGTGTCAGCGGTCGTACGTGGGAACCCTTCTGTCACATATATGTGACGCCTGGTAGCGAACGTGTTAATCAACATGGCACACCATCTTCGAATATATTGGGCAGTTTAATTTTGAGCAGTATTCATTGTTATTTATAATCCATTTAACGAACTAGGATGATACATTATACATACCCGTGATGTGAATTTTAAGTTTTGTTCAATGGTATGATAAACAAGAGAGAACAAGAGCTGTATAGCATGTCTCAGAAACTGAATAATATAGAATATTTCTACAATCTTCTTAATGATCGGTTACCTGTTTCTGGAATATGTCAAATATTTCTTCTCAATAATCAACTGAGAAAATAGATTGAATCGAGATCGGCCAGGCTCATTTTGTTTATATTCCACGACTGAATTTTTCCCAGTTTGCAAAACGGAATAAAAGTGGTCTAAATTACTCATTCTTTTCTAATTGTTGCATCATTCTCTTTGCTGTTCAGAAAATTGCAAAATTGTCTTTATGAAGTTGTCAGCACATCGTAGATATTCTTACGGAAAATTCGTGGTCTATTGATTTCTATTTCAAAGACAGTCCATTTCTGAAAAAATAACATACGTTTTCCGTTTTGTTTTTGCATTGCATTTGAATCTAAAATATGGACTCCATCGAAGATGTTACGTTAATGGTTCGCCTTTTAACGATTCTGAACCGATCTCAAGGTGGATTCATGCACGACCTAATTTGACCCGAATTTAACCCTAATTTAATTTAGCCCTAAGAATCTGAATTGAGTGGTTCATACAGAACTTTAGTCAGGAATTTACGCATGCGCATACAGTAACATTCGAACTTCAGACAGAGGTCATAAGTGTCATGTGTCATGTCATAATATAAATAAATAAAGTGCAATTTATAAACTCCGCTGCAGTAGACGTAGTTGACGCAGCCGTTCCAGCTGCAGTTGTTAGAAAACTTGTCAATTTATAAATTCTTCGCTGCGGCGGCAACGCATGCGTATTCCGGATTAGAATATATTGCAAAATTTGACACTTGACAGATGACTTTGACATAGACTTTGATTTGACCCGATAATAATCTTTGTTGATATTATTTTAAATTCTTAATTTGTGGTTGTGTTGTATACATGAAGTTATAAATATTTGAAAAACCATTTATAATGGATACAGAAATCTTGTTGGGTGTACTGGGAATCACTATATGTGCAATGGTGATGAAAAAATTACAAAAACGAAGGCTTCCCAGGCGTTACAAATGTCGACCACTTAACCAAAACAG